TTATCCAAACAAAAATAATTTAAAGGACATAAATATTAAAATATTAGTTTCAAAGTATTAGCTTCCTAGCAATGTGAAGTCTCTAGACTGCAGAGATGCTTGGGTTCAGAGCACTTGCTTTTTCATGGAGGACAAGAGCTCCGTTCTCAGGACCCATGCCAGGCAGCTCACAGATGCCTGTAATTCCAGTCTCCAGGGAACAGAAGCCCTTTGTCCTCCATGAGCACACACACACACATGCAGACACACAGATAAATAACAATTAAATATATCATTTTAAAGGTGATTTTTCTTTAGATCATGCACCACATAACACATATGTACAAATATGAGAACCAGGTATATTTTAGACGGGGAAATTAACTGTAAGCTATATCATAAAAATAGTACATAACATTTTACTACTTCTAGTACGAATGTTGTACATTTTAGCATATGTAAAGTGTATACGTTTTAAAACTACAGTTCATTAAAACTATTTCTGTTTCCTCAGCTGTTGATTGTGATCTGTCTGATCTTTGCAATGAAATCCCGGGTATCACCCCTTTATATGCTATGCCCCATTGTTATTCACATAGTTTAGTGAATGATGTCATCTTGCCCCTTCTGGCTTTGCAATAGAGATATTTATGTTTGTATGGCAACCCTCGCCGTCTACCTCCATTCCATCATCTTCTCATCTCCCATATATGTATGACAAGACAATACAGTTCAAAATTTCCTAAATTTTGTACTCTTGCTGAGGCCATTTCAGTTTTAACTAGAATTTGGCCACCTTGGTGGAGAATTCAAGGAAAATTATCCAAATCTGTTCTAAGAACCCTAAGGTCAAGATGACCTAGTTAACTTAGCCTATTTGTAAAGAGCCTATCTCTTTACAGTGACTTGATTACCTTAGCTTCTGTGAGACGGCTTGCTTCTCCAAATCAGCCCATCCTGAAGCTGCTGAGTGAGATGCCAGAATGTGGTTTCTGCCTTCAAAAACCCTGTATTCTGGACACTCAAGGCCACTCCTATGTCCCCAAATACCTGGATGTGGTCCCAGCTGGCTGAAATAAAGAATTCCCATTGGCTTTAAACTATGTCTGAGTCACTGTCTCTTGTGGGCTACCCAGAATAAATCTACATTGTCTGTATGCACCACATTCACAATATAACTTTAAAGATTAAATGAAAAAATAGATAAAAACTTGAGTGGATGAATCAAAATTAGCTATGCTAATCTTGCTAAATTGTTATGCAGTTCAGGTGCAGTTAAAGGCTCTTGAACTGACATCCCTGACACATGGGGGTTAACCAGGGTCTTGTGGTTTATTTCTGAGAGTGGTGACCTCTCAGACCTGATCTGATTCCATCTTCCTCAATAGGATTTTTCCAAACTTTTCTGCATAATCTGATGTTAACACCCTTTAACCATCTTTGTTATATAAACTGCCATATTCAAATGTAATTTTTCAATGAATATTTGCATGCTCTTTCATTCTTAGTCGTTTGTATGTAACCAGCAATAAACAGTTGTTTTCTCATTGAAGTCAACAGTAGCCTTCCAATACTAAATGCAATCATTTATTTCAGCCCTATATGAATTCTATGTAGCACATAACTTGGTTCATCATATTTCCCTCTATCTGGAAACGCTGCCCTCACCTCATTATTTGTATTCCATGCTCTATTGTCTGCATATCTTGTGGCCATATCAACTCTTTCATAGCCTTTCCACATTCCTAATATGACAAGGCTCTCAATTAGAACTGTCTAATAATTTTGGACCCAACAATCTTGTTCTAAGATGCATATGCACTACTTTAATTACATGCAGATTTCAACCATGTTTATATCTTTCCTTTTTTTCTCAGCCACTATGTCAAAAAGATTTTATTGTCCATTAGGTAAATACACCTTACCATTGCATATAGTGTCAACTTCAAGGCAGGTATATTTAATCTTTGTTGTATCACACATTTCTTTTTACTTAATGTTTTTAAGATTTTCTTATCTATATTTTTATTTTTGTATGGATGTTTTTCACAGAGGTATGTGCACCACTTGTGTGCCTGGGAACTCCAGAAGCCAGAAGGAGGTATTGGGTCCTCTGGAACTGGAGTTTCAGATAGCCGTGAGTTCTGGGAACTAGATTCCAGCCCTATGCAAGGGCAGTCGGTGCTTTTATCCTCTGAGTCATGCTTCCGTTCCCTCACAAACCGCCACAATTCTTGATATATGAATAACACTTAAGGAAAGAACTGCTGAACTAATGAAAACCTTACCTGAAACTCCTTTTAATGATATAACATTATAAGAACCTCAATTCTGCGTCAACTCCCCATCCCATTAGACATTACAATTGAGTCTACGTTAAGAATCTGTCTCGTTTCATTGCCACTGAGAACTCTCCTTACAATAGTTAGGGAATTTTCACAGTAGCCTGGAAACCATGCTCCCAAAATCCCTGTGAAATTATACTCTCAAGGTAAAGGTGTAGACACTGAGAAATAACTGAATCAAAAAGAGTGAGACCTTCATGGACACATGGTTTACTATAGTAGGATGATGCTTGTTTGTTCTGGCTGCTCAGCCCCAAAATAATTACACAGAAACTGTCGTCATTAAATTACTGCTTGGTCTATTAGCTCTAGCTTCTTATAGGTTATCTCTTAGATGTCAATTTAACCCATTTCTATTAATCTGTGTATCACCACATGGCTGTGACTTACCAGCAAGTTTCCATCCAGTGTCTGTTTCTGGTGGGGCTACTTGACTTCTCCTGACTCTGCCTCCTTTCTTCCTGCTTTCAATTTAATTTTCCCCACCTAGCTCTGTTCTACCCTGCTATAGGTTTAAAGCCATTTCCTTATTAATTAATAGTAATCACAGCATACAGAGGAGAATCTCACATCAGTATGCTTTATACTTAGGTTTCCCATGAGTAGATATCAGAGAGCTATCATTCTTTTGTCCCTCCCATGAGCATAAAACATGCAACGTTGGAAAGGTCTCTACAAGACCCTATCTTTCTGACTCTCCAGTCCCGGGTTCTCAACCACTAGATGTGTGAGAAATATTTTTCTGATTTTCATAAGCCATAAGTCTATGCCGGCCCAACATGATACCTACTTTGGGATAACAGACACTAGTTCTCTGAAAGAATTATGGCTTCTTCTCATTAAGAAACACAAACAAAAAACAAGTTGTTTCCCAGGTCAAGACCTTCTGTTGGTGCTAATAACCGCAGAATAGCACCCCATGCATCCTCCAAGGATCTATAGACAAGAGTTTTCAGACTCAAGATCCAGATTATGTCATTTCTTTCCATTTTTAACACACTGAACTTAAAATGTTTAGCTTATCTGCCAAGTTCCCCTACCTTCTGTCTTTGTAGGAACTTGAAAGCTGTCTCTTATGAGCCTGGAATGGTTTCACTCTCCTTTAAGAGCCCACTGCTACAACACTGCTGTAAGCCTTTTTTCGCCCCTTTCTAGGTAAACTGCTATTTCCCATCAATGATTCCACAGTTCTTTGTTTGCCTCCTACTGACTTTATGCACATGTACTACTGGGGTGCTAACCTGTGTGTACCCTTCACTACACTACAGGAAATAATTTTGTCACAGGGCCTGATTCCTATTCCCTCAAAGACCAACTACCAAGAAATTATTACTAAGCCCATATTTAGTCCAGTGGATCCACTTAGCACCTACTGTCTGTTAAATATTGTACTAGGCTTTTCACCAAAATAAATGTTCTCCTGTTTAGACTGAATATAAGATGCCAAACTACAAAAGTGTATTTTCCTCTTCTTCTCTCAACTATAAAAATAGTTTGCTTAAAGCAAATAAGATTCCTGGAGAGTTGTCTAGGAGTATGAAGAGGAGGTGATAATGAGAACTTTGCTTTGTACTGAAGAAGCAGAAAGCAATGAAACAAGTGCCGTGAGGCTGAGGTGATGACGTCATTCTGAGGCAGAGATACTTTTCCCATAAGTACTTTGTATTCCCTGTTCTGAGGATGAGATGATGATGTCATTCTGAGGCGGAGATACTTTTCCCATAAGTATTTTGTATTCCCTGCTTCATGGCCACTTTCTGCTTCCCTCTCCTTTCTCATCAGCTCTCTGTGATGGACAGTCAGCAGAAAAGCCAGGGCAGAAATGGGAAAGAATCTGTACTGTGGGTTAGGGGACTACTTTCCAGACTCCAATGAGCAAATGATATATTCTGGCATATTTTGCATCAGTCAATAAAAATTTTCTACTAAACATATATGCACCGTAGGGCAAGGTAGCGGTAGCAGCTTAGTTTTGATATTACACATTAACAACAGACCCATCTTGACAAAAAGAGTCCCAAAGTCTCCTGATTCTTTCACTTCCCCCATGCTGGAAGGATTAATTTTGTTCAATAAAAAATGTTGGAGAAAACCAAGACAGAATCAATCATCAGAAGGATTTATCTATGAAAATTTGTAGTAAGTGACATGAAACAATATTTTAGTACAATTGGCCCTAGACTAAGTTCCCAATACCACAAACTATTGACACGGTATCTTAAGATGTGTATTTTCAGTAGGCAACAAGGGTTTCGCTAACAATGTCGTATAGATGTTCCTTTTTAGTTCAATCACACACCAAGACTGAACCAAGTGTATAACTCCCTCACTTGAGAAAAATCTAGAATATATTGAAAAAAATCAAAATACAACAAAATCCCATCTCAATCAAATGACAATTAAGCATGTAATTGCCGCATAAAATTCTAGGTTGGACTCTTTTGCTGTACCATTTTTCAAAGGTGATTATATAAAAATAACTGCAACTTTCCAAAATGATAGTACTGGAAGCATGCATGCCAGGGTTCTATGTTATTTCTGTAGTTGTCCCTGCTTTTTATGTATGTAAATCAGAAAAGCCTGTTCTTTTTTTTTTTTTTTTTTTAAGAAAACATTTCTGGAGCCTTTATTTACAAAAGCTTTAAAAACAAATAATACCCTCTGTTTTGCAAATAATGTTTAGTTTAAAAAGGACCGCCCAGTTACAGCATTTTAGTATCATGAATGTCCAAGGAAAACGAACTATGCTGCTAACATTTGGAGACTTGTTGATATTGATTGAAGTGTAGATAACACACATTACAACTTGTAGTCCATCACTTCAGGGTAGAGTTAATGATCACCAAAATCTTCCAACACATGCTCTGGTCTGGTCACATAGTCTGCATGGCTAAATATTTCACAGTCTCTTGTCAATATATATAAAATAGATTGCAAAGATATACACAAAAAAATAAACAAGCATTACACTCCTCAGGGAATTTTATTAGCTATATATATGTGTGTGTGTATTTATATATTTTGCATTTTGTTGTTTTGCACCAAATCTCTCTATTACTTATTTTGTAGCATGTATGAAATCACATTTTTTTGCTTTTTAAATTTGATATAAAATGTACCTAAAGACTTGTTATCTTTGGACTTTAATGAAATTGATTTGTGTAGTCAACAAATCAAGAACGTCATAAATATGCCTCTAAAATAAAACAGTAAGGGTAAAAGTGATGGAGTAAAAGGAAGCTGATCAAGAGAAGCAGCGCTGTCATGAAATATGACTGTAGCTCCAACATCTTGAACGGCAGTTTTCTGGCAAATAGTAAAGTCCAATCACAGGGCTTCTTCCTGAAGGGTGTAAAGCCGGTCTCAAAGTCTTCAGTCACAGAGCAGCCTATGCAGTTAATTGGAAACCAAGAGACCCGAGATGTGCTTGGAAGGTTCAACACCACACAGAAACAGTAGCTCCCAGGCTCTTCAGTAGTTCCTTGTCTTTTTGTTAGTCTTGTTGAATCAACAACTCGCACAATGGATGTGCTGTACTCTGAATGTCAAAAACAAGCAAATACTGTAAAAAGGTGGCAGATGGTCATTTTTCCAGCTAAGAGCGAGAAAATCCACAATTTCTGATAAAACAAGAGGATTGGGATCACTCTCTAAAGTGCAAACTTGATGGTCCACAATTTTAAACACCTATAAGTACTGCAGAATAGGAGAGGCATGAAACAGGGAAATAAATTACAGTCAATGCTAGTTAATTTATGAAAAGGGAAAACAAAACCAAGCTCAAGTAGGCAAAGTTTATCAAATTACTCAGTAATGTAGCTTTGTCACACAAGCTTGATAAGAAGTGTATTAAATTAAGGCCAGATTTAACCTGAATGTACTTTTATTTATTAAGATCACAGCTAGGAAAGGCCATATTTAGTACTGAAAGCAGAAAATAAGGGCTACAAAAGGAGGGGGAGGTATTGCCTATCATTTAAGGGTTTCAACCAGAGATAAAACCTATGTACAAGCATGTGTGTAACTCGTATAAAATAAAAATAAAAAGACTATTTTATGTCATGACTGCTTGTTGGCTTCCTCTTCATATGCATTCCCTGTGCCATTCTGTACATAGGATGAACCAGAACCAAGGCCGTATAAATGACCACAGTATTTGGCATCATCAATATGATCTTCAAAGAACATTTCTCTCATTTTGAAAAAGGCCATTCCTGTAAGCAGTGAATCAGATCCCGCTTGGTGTTGAGGTCCTATCCGTTCCAGCTCTAACTGTTCAGCAACTTCCTGCAATCCACCTTTGAGATTTTTGCAGCTCTTCATGAGGTACTTCACATCATAAATGACAGGAAAAAATAATCGAAGGATCTCAAAGAAATCAAGTTCTTCTTCAGGCAAGTTAGAGTTCGTCAGGATTTTGATTAAATAGCCAAAGTCATAACCACTATGAAATGATAACCATTTGACCCCTTCACATAGAACCACTCCTGAAGTCATAAGAAGCTCTGCAAAGTATTGGGTCTCAATTCCTTCCTCCTCGTGTTTTTTAAACTGGATACCAGATGTTGTTAGTAGCTCTATAGAGTCCTGAGCATACATGTCCTCCGTCAAATTAAATTTAAAATTAAACTGCCAAGTTGAAGTTCCTGGAGGGTATTCTCCTTGCTCATTCATAAATGTCAGTCCTAGCTGAATTATCTTTAACAAGTCTACATTACACCGCAATAGTTGGTATTGATAGTCAGCATTGCTCCTGAATTCTCCAATGGGCCTTGCAACAACACCTGGAAACTCGGTGTCCATAGCAACATAATTATATTTTCGGATAACTTGACGAATTTTCTTCATCTCTTCATCCAGGTTACAAGCCCAAACTTCACAAATTCTTTGGCTATGATCTACAGTTGCTGCTGGCATAGTGACAGCACAAGGAGCCTAGATGCCAAGCATCAAACGTTACACTTGATTGAAGATGTGTTTCATAAAAATATTCTACCCTTTACTTGTGCACTTGTGTCTCTGAGCTCGCGCTCCTCCTCTTCCTCCTCGCCATAGAGATAGCACCCGGCGGCGGCGACGGCGGCGGTGGCGGGACCGACGGCGGCAGCGGGCGCCCCATAGACACCTCTCGCCCTGGAAAGGGGAAAGGGGAGCTGCAGCTGCGCTGCCCAGCGCGCCGCCGTCGCACCTCAAGCCTGTTCTTCCAGGTAGCAAATAATCTGTGTTGAGTCCACAGTTATTTCCAATAAACAATCAGGGTAATCATTGCTACAATCTATGCTTAATAATGAGAAACCAGAGAATAGTGTATTAGGTCCCTCCTCCTTCATTCCTCAGGTCCCCAAGCATTACAAAGAGCAATGCCTGGGTTCCGGCCCCCACTACTGCTCCCCAGGTCCTAGTTGTATATCTCCTTGTTGGTATCCCCATGTGCAGAGTCGCTGAATCCAAAGCTCAATAAATCTGATCCTTTGTATTTTTAGACTTCATTTCCCTAAATGAAATAAATGGGAGTAATATTAGTTACATCAGTGGCACTAAAGCATCCATTGAGCTTCAATAATAAGAGCAACAATAACAATAAAATTTTATAGCTTTTTTTCTCAGAGGAAATTAGAACACTTTACCAACATTATTGTCTCATTAATCCACATGTCTTTGAAAAATAGAGCAGTGTGTGGAAGAACGAGTGTGGGCTGGGGGAGGTAGGCAGACCTACTTGAAAATCATTAGGTGAAAAGTAAAGAAGATCATGTGTGTAAAGCATGCTCGCTACTTCTGACCTATGTCCAAGCTTCCTCTCTGACTTTCACCCCTTTACTGATTCCCGAAACCTTTTTCTAGAGTAGTAAAGTCTGAGAGAAGATCATTTCAGTTTGGAGGGGGTATTTCTGTTTTACCCCAAAGTATTCTGATTTTCTTGAAAAAAAATCATAAAAGATTTCTCCCATTGTTAAGTTGGTTTACAGGAATATGAGTATCTCTCTTATTTACCAAAGGCTCAGAGGTAACAGCAAGAAACTCGTCTCTCTCAGTATCTTCCTGGAGTTGGAGAAGTTTCAACTTTGGAACACCACAATGCCTGTGTTGTGAGCTATTGCGTGAAGAAAAAATTCATTGAGTGGACTAGGGGGAAAATCTAATGGGAATGGATCCATGAAGGCAGCTTAGCTGGAAAGTGGTCATCTTGCAGGCCTAATTACTTCCATTCAACACCAGCACGAGCAAAGAAGCCTGCTGTGGTGGCCTGAGTTTTAAATACCATATCTGGGAACAGGTGGATCCCTGGTCTTATAGGCCAGTCAGTTTAATATAATTTATATGTTCCCAATGAGTGGGATACCCTGTCTCAAAGGAGGGAGATGGTACTTTAGAGTTGCACCCGCAGTTGTCCTCTGAGTTCAGCATGTGCACCCCCACTCACAAATGCACCAGCACATACATGACATGCTCACACACACACACACACACACACACACACACACACACACACACAAACTAAAACAACAAAAACTAAAATTGGATGAGAATTAGAATTCCAAGAATTCAAACTATGATTTACATGCTAAATTATGTATGCATGAACCTTTGGTTGCTCAAAGGCCTTCCTTACAGTGTTTTCAAAATGCTAAAACTTAACCCTGGTGTATTATGGGAAAGATTCTATGTCAATGCTTAGTGGGGATGTTAAGTGGTGAAGAGTACATCACCATAGGCCATGTGAAGGTGCTGACTTCAAAAGCCTTTCCACACAACAAGGCAGAGCACATTGAAATGAAGTCTGGTCTCTGAAATCCATTTGGCTTTTCCCATTGGGATGCCTAAGTGGTTTCCACCTTTATTTCTAACCCAGAGGAAATGTGTGTTTAACTCCAAACTTTAAGGCTTATAATCTGAAGGTGCTGTAGTGCAAGGCATTTTGAAAAGCCTATAGATAGAATACCTTACTATTAAGGGGCAGCTACTTTTCCAGACTGCGCCCAGGCTCTAAACAGGCAGAGTCAGCATTTCCTCATACAAATAGACACACCAGCAAGCATAGGTCTGTGGGGCAATGGAGCTCAGGATGTCTCAGTAAATTGTGGCATTAGTAAAATAAATTATGGCTGCAGTAACTATCTACATCATAAAGAAATTGTGGTGCCTAGTCAGTAGGTTTAATACCACCTTCATTTTCTATAGAATTGAGTATACATACACACACAAATAAATAAATAGGCCCCAATCTCCTGTACAGAATGGGTGGGAATACAGTGAATAACTCTTTAGGTGGCTTCTGGTTCAGCAATAGGCTCTAATTTGTAAGGGCAGTCTTTTAAGCATGCTTTTGTACAGATGGGCTATGTTAGTTAGACAAGGAGACAATAATAACGTCATAGTAATTGCAAGACTGTTGGTTTTAAAGATGGAGGAACCACAAAAGGTACGGCTGCATTTTCAAAGCCTAAGAAATGTAGAACAATGTGAAATTAAATAGAAGAAAAGGTGGCTAGCTCCCTGGGACACGTTCTCAACAGGGAGATGCATTACTTAGGAGCGAGTCTCCCCAGGGCTGCTGTAAATGCTCCCGCTCTTATGTCATTTCGCATGAAATGCCGAAAGCTGCTGCCAAGGTGGACAAGGTGACCTGGCAGGTCTCCCGCCTCTATTCTCTGCGATTTAAAGGTTCTATGCTATTACCCAGCACGAAGCACTGCTTTTAGCGATTCCATTTGTAAAATGACCCCACAGGTGTTTTTCTCATTGTTTCCACCTTTGCTGAACTCTCGTTTTTCCCAACTTATGCAGTGAGATTCAGGTGATAATATTTGGAATCAGAGGGTTGCAAACGTTGTGGAAGGAGACGTAAACAGGAGTAAATGTTTGCTTGTTGGGAAAAAAATAATAGTAGGAAACTAGAGAAAAGGTTAAAAGATCGTCATTGCACACCAGTGAGTTTTTCTGCATCTAAATGGGATTTTGATGTAGACACCACTTTTCTTTAAGAAAAGCTATACTGAGTGCAAGAATCCTGCACATTAATCTTCCTTCTGACAAGCCTGGGGAAAAGCAAACAAAGGTGCTAATTCAACACCAGCTCATTGCGATTCTCAGACTGAAAGGGAATTCTCTAAGGAGGCACAGGTTAGTGACGCCCCTTGGATGACAGTGAGCATCAGCGATGTTAGAAGCCTTTTAGTACTGACTCTGGGCTGGAACCCACGCACATCCTTCTGTGTTTCAAGGAAAGCTTTATCTTCTGGTCCAGATGGATACACACGATGAAACCCATCAAGCAGCAATCCTTGTTGGGTTTCAATTAGAAATGGAAGACGACTTTTGACCCGCTCCTCTGCTTTGTGAATGAGGCACAGGGTGCAGAATGAGCAAGTTTGAAGAAACAGTGGAAGGCTGCAGGCTGCAATGTACCTCAGTGGGTTTCGTAATTTAGTGCGGCTTGCCACGCTAAAAGATTTTTACCTTATTTTAATGCTTTTACTAGGCTGGGGCAACATTAATTATGTGCTGAGATACAATCAACCTCAGAAACATTGCTTCCCAATGCAAATAAAGAGAAATGTGTGACAAATTCCTTTCTTCAGAGAACATCAAATAAGAAAGAAGAAAATAATTCAATATTTCTAATCTATCTCCTAGTTCCCTCTTCATTTTTTTCTTTTTCATTCCTTACCTGATTTTTAAAATGTATAGCCCTCAAACATGACCAAAAACCAGTGTCTGAAGTAGTTGAGCCTACGCCTTTACAGACACCTAGATGAGGTGTTGGAAGTGTTCCACATGCCCCTCCATGAGAGTTCCATTTGGCCAGAGTGTCAGTCCAACATGATGGTAATGGTGCCCCGTTCCTCTTTCCTGTGGCCCTCACAGGTGCCTCCTCGGAATCACCCACCACCTGCAAAATTATAATGCAGTATAGCAGCTAGAGTTTACCAAACAATGACAGGGAATAGCCCTCGCTTTCCTCAGGACCCTCAGCCTTCTGCTAAGACGGTGTGTCGTTTCCCACAGCGAACTGAGTGCCAAGCCTCTGGACTGCTTCTGTTTACTGTGCCTTCTCTACAATGGACCTGTCCACCACTAAGATCCTCAGTTACCTTAATTCTTTTCTGTGTATTTCCTTTCCCTTTCCCTGACATTTTACATGCAGCTCCAGGTGGGCATTCATCGTGTCATCTTGAACCAAACAGATGTATGTATTTATCTTCGTATTGTTCCCCAAACTTTAGTCAACTGTTGGCAATTCGGATTAAAAAGAGGGGTTATGGAAATGAAGTATGGATAAATTTAACCTTGTGTTTTAGTAATAGAAATCAAAGTAATATCAAACTGTGTGAATACATTCCAAGCCTGAGCTTGTATTATTGAAGATTACTTAACGCTTCATACAAATACACCTAGCAAGAATGTCTCTCACTGTTCTTTGTCAACTTTTTGCAATAGGTATCTTTAGACCTTTCAAAACATCCCAATGGAAAAAGGAAGACTCAGTGAACACAGAACCAAATGTAACATCCAACATACCCTAGTCTAGAAGATGCATTGTTATAAAATTCTCTTCTTCCCTACCCAGCTTTGCTTTTAAATTTCGTTTTGTTTCCTGGCTAGTTCATTCTCGAAATGAAAATAATATCCCAAAAAGCCTCTGAGAAGGTATTTCCCCTCTCATGTTGAAACGCTAAACAAACATGTCAGTGATTTATGTGTCTGTAAATTAAACATGGTACACTTAGTCAAATCTGTCTGTGGCACTAATTGACTACAAGAAGAGTAAAGCGGAGTTGCTTACATGGCGGCTCCTCAGAGCTGCACCGCCACCCAGAATCCCGCAGCCTGGTGTTCCAGATCATAAGCTCACTTGTAGCACACACTTCTCAAAATTAGGCCAAGACAAAATGCTAGAGGTTTGACTCATATCACACACGGAATCTAAGTCTTAGCAGGGTTGCTTAAGACGCCAAAGGAATCACCGACCTCTGAGTTCCTCTTAGTGACTTTTTAAAACTAAGAATCACAAGCTAAAGAGCACATTACTTTGGAAATAAAAATCCAGTCAAGTCAAGACCTCCAGCAGGACGCTGAACTGCTGAGGGCATGCCAGCAGAAGAGTGTCCTGAGTCAAAGTCACACTGAGTCCTCACATGTGCCTCATCCAGGAGGAGGGCTAACCCCTTATTTAATTCTAAT